TTTTTTTAAAAAGGGTGTTTACAGTGCAGGGATTAGAAGAACCGGCCCAAGTGGCACAGGGTTGGAAGACGTGTCTAAGCCAGTGTTCCATTGCTGCGAAGAGACACCATGCCTGCTGCAACTCTTTTTTTTTTTAATTTTTTAAAAATAATTTATTTAATTTTGTTTTATGTGCATTAGTGAGAAGGTGTCAGACCCCTTGAACTGGAGTTACAGACAGTTGTGAGCTGCCATGTGGGTACTGGGAATTGAACCTCGTTCCTTTGGAAGAACAAACAGTGCTCTTAACCACTGAGCCATCTCTCCAGCCCCCCCCCCCCCCCCGCCCGGCTGCGACTCTTAAAAAGAAAAACATTTAACTGGCACTGCTTTACGGTTTCAGAGGCTTAGTCCGTTATCCTCATGGCAGAAGCATGGCAGCCTGCAGGCAGATGTGGTGCTGGAGAAGGAGCTGAGAGTTCTACAATGGACCCACGGGCAGCTGGAAGAGAGAGCCTCTAGGTTTGGCGTGAGCTTTTTGAAACCTCAGAGCCCACTTCCAGTGACACCCTTCCTCCCACAGGGACCCCTCTCCTAATTCTTTCAAATGGGGCCACTCCCAGGTATTCAAATCTATGAGCCCGGAGGGGGCCATTCTCATTCAGTGAGGTGTGTCAGTTCAGACGTCTCCAGCACCTAGCCCGGAGAAGACTCTCCATGGATTTTCCTCCTATGCCCCGTGGACTCAGTGCCAAACAATTCCTGGTCTCTGCACAGACAGCTTTCCAGGATGGATACACGCTACCCCATGAGAAATGGAAAAAGCCAGAGAAGCAACAAGGGTGTCACTCTAAAATAGTTCCCCGATTGGGCTGACTGAAAGTCTCCAAAGTGACAAGGGGCCTCCTTTCAAGGCAGGGATTGCTCAGGGCTCTGAAACCTTCGGAATTCTGCCTGCATGCACACCTGCAGGCCAGAAGAGGGCACCAGATCTCATTATAGATGGTTGTGAGCCACCCTTGGAAGAGGGGCCGGTGCTCTTAACCTCTGAGCCATCTCTCCAGCCCATAAAGACATGTTTTTAAATTTCATAATTTAAATGTTTGTTGCTAGTTTTGTTCAATTGTTTAATTTTTTTTTGGTCAGTTGGTTTTTTGATATGGGTCTCACACAGCCCTGGCTGACCTCAGATTCACTTTGTAGCTGAGGATAACCTTGAACTCCTGATCTCTTGCTCTTGACCCCCAAGCGATGGGATCACAGGTGTGTACCACCATGCCCAGCTACCGTTGCTGGTACGTATGAAATGCACTTAGGAAGGGTCTTCTGTGCTCACTCTGTTATCATTCATGTAAATCTAGAACTAACTTTTCCTTGAAGAATGTCTCAACAGTGACACCCTGCAGCCTGGGGTTTTCTTCAGGGTAAGATTTCCTTCTATGATTTCTATTTCTTTAGTGGAACTAGAACTGTTCACACTGGCCACGAATGTGCCGTTTTGAAAAATTCTTTCATCTTGGTTGAGTGCTGACAATTCTGGAAATCAGAGTAATTAGCATTCCATAGTAAAAGCCTAGATTCCTACACCACCTCCCTGCAAACTCCTAAGAATGGCTGGCCACCAGGGATATTTGTCACCTGGCATTCTTTCACTCACTATTGTCCTGTAATAGGCAGTCTCATGCCAAAAGAGGGAGGGGAAGCTCTAAGCCTCCCTCCCCCCCTCTCGCCTCTGCCCTATTGCTACCCCAGCTGGTAAGTGATGGAAGGCTCTGGATGTTTTTCTCCAGAATAAATGCCTGCTCTACCCTAATTCAGGCCCCCTTGCCTGTCTTATCTTCTGAACTGTGAGTTCAGATACTTTATTGTTTCTTACATTTATTTCAGTAAGTAACATTTTTCTAGTAGTTTGTCTATTTTTATCTAAAGCTTCAGAATTGGCCAAAGCTGGTCATGTTTTATCAGTGCTTTGATGTCAATCATATCTGTGACTGTGTCTCTCTCTTTTCTTTCCCAGAGTAGATGAATTTCACTATTCTTTTCAAGGCACCATGTTTTCACTTGTGACTAAGGGTGAATCTGGATTATGAATCTCTATATCTCTAATTCATGATTTTCCAAAAACTTTTTGTCTTCCCGCTACACCCTTGGCTCTAAAGCAAGTCTTCATGCAGTTTTTAAGGCCTTTTGGGTCCCAGCTTTGAAGACAAAAGTCTCCTACTTGTCTATCCACGCTGATCATCCCCTGGCCTACATTTCCATTAAAACTGAAGCTGCTAAGGCTGGGCACAGTGCTCTGTGGGAAAGCATGAGGACCAGAGTTCAAATCTCTGGCACCCACATAAAAAATCACAGTTCACACTCAGCATTCTTTAGTTGCCTATAGTTCTTTATGTAGAGTTGAGGCCTCATGGGAGTCTCGTCTGTGTCCCGCCCCCATTCCCATCCACTTTGGCATGTTGTGCAGCTCGTGTATAGGCTGTTCTGTTGGCGAGACTTTATGGTGTAGCTTCTGACATTATTACTAGGAGACGCCATCTCACAGCAAACTCCCCGATCCTCCGGCTCTTACAGTCTTTCCACCCTCTTCCGTGCTGTTCCCTGAGCCCTAGGTGCCGTGTTTTGTGGATGCATCCTTTGGGACTGGCTCCACAACTCTGCCTTTGCTTGGTTGTGGGTTTCTGTGTTGGTCTCCATCTGCTGCAGAGAGAAGTTTCCTTGATGAGGAGTGAGAACTGCACTTACCCAGCTAGACCCTGGAGGAGAAGATGGAACCTTTGTGTTTTTTGTTCTCAGGGCTAGTTTAGGGTCTGGCCCACAGGTGTCCTTTGGGATTGGGAGGAGTCCCTCTCACTTTCCTTTACCACTTTCATCTACGTGAGGCTAAGTCAAAGGCCCTGCTTGGCTGTAGCTTTACTCAGAAGCACAGTGGAGAATTCTCCTCCGTGTTAAGCTCCCTTTGTAGAATTGCCACTGGTTAGAGTCCACACAGTGGGGTGTCCATTACTTTCCTGACCAGGACAGGTTCAGGACAAGTGATTCACCAGGACTATAGAACTCTGAGAGATGTCCACAGTCCTCTAGGACCTAGTTGAGCATGGAGGACAAAGGGCAATAGTGTCCCTTCTACACTGGGAGGGTCCTCTAAACGTGGTTACTGAACACCCAGATTAGTATAGTAGTCTAGTACTTTTAGCTGCTGTGTAGTATTTCCATAAAGCTTAGAGAAACGTTTAAGTACATCCTGATTAACATATCCAATTCTCATCTTCTACACATCAAAAACAACTTTTTGTGTGTGTTCTGCAAGGTTCAAAAGTGTTTCACCATGGCCATGCTCTGTGAGTGCCTGTAGCAAAACATTATCGCCTTGAGGTTTACAACCTCAATTTACAACAGATATAAGTTAAGGATGACCTTTTCAAACAGTGCACAAGAGTTAATGATTATGCGTTCTTAGGCACAGTACACTCAATGGATAAGCCTCCTGTTAGCCATTCCCACTAAAGGCATTTCAGCCAGCCTGACCATACACACCTTTAATGCCAGCACCTGGGAAGCAAAGGCAGGGGCTTTGAGATTAGCCTGGTCTACACAGTGCGTTCCAGGACAACTAGAGTTACTTAAAGAGACGGTGTTGATTTAAAAAAAAAAAAAATGTAGCTGTTTTTAAAGGTACAATGTTTCTCTTTTATTCTTGTTATAAAGACAGGTGGCCTAACTCAGGACTGGGCAGTTTAGAGGACACTTTGAGATACTTGGGTGTGAAGTGAGAGGTCTCGGTGAGCTTAAACAGCACATGACAATGTACTGATGCACAAGAGGCATTTTATTCCCACCATAGCTCGAAATAGTAAATGGCAGCTTTCTCTAATGGACCAGAGAAGAAAGAGGACTCTGGTGGTGTAAACTGAACAGGGGATTTGAGTCCAGTGATGGACCCAGGACATTTAGCAAATGCAGACAAAAAATCCGGGACAAAGGAGTCTCAAAATCGGAGACACATTTTATTCTGGCCAGAGAAAAGGCAGGCTTGCGATGGTCAGTCAGAAAGGGCAGGCATTAAGACGCAGTGGATTCCCACCTCCTTCCTCCCATGTGACTGGGGAAACAGTTTTTTTTAGAACCCAGTAGATACTGTATGTGAAATAACTGTCTCAAATACCAAAGAATCAACCATGAGGTTATTGTAATCAGTCATGGAGTCTGGCATTTATCACCTCCTTAGTCTCATACAGGAAATGTATATTGATCTTTTTTTGGTTTGGTTTGGTTTGGTTGGTTTCGGTTTTTTGTTTGTTTGGTTGGTTTTTGTTTTGTTTTGTTTTCAAAACAGGGTTTCTCTGTGTAGCTCTAGCTGTCCTGGAACTCACTCGGCAGACCAGGCTAACCTTGAACTCACAGAGATCCCCTGCCTCTGCCACCTTGAGCACTGAAATTAAAGGTGTGCAACACCAGGCCCAGCTCACATGCACAAATCTTAAAAGTCAGGTATAAAACATTCTATAATCAGACGATTTACTTACATGTAACACGTAGCCAAAAGCACATAAAAGTGACAACACATTAATGTAAATATCACATTTAACTATCGTGGGGCAAAGGGCATATGAAACTTCAGCTCTGAGCTGACAGTGGGCCTCTTCACTGTATAAGGAAGGGGAGGCTGGCATTTACCTGGGTGATTTTTAAACCCTGTCCCCGAGAATTGCTGTTTGATAATTGCTTTTTGGCTGACAGCAGTATTACAAGATCTCGGAGGAAGGAGCCAGAGTGGGGTCAGACACAGAAGGAGATATGCCTGGAGGCTTTTCTGCACACTTTGGAAGTCTTCAAAGAACACAGACTGGGAGGTGTGGTGACGCACCCATGAGGCAAAATCATATAGGTCTCAGTGAGTTCAGGGCCAGCCTGGTCTACGTAAGTTCAGGGACAGCCAGTGCTACATAGAGAAACCTTGTCTCCAAAGATGACAACAGATATAAATGGAGCAGTACAGGGATGGTCCTCAGGGTACTCACCATGGCCGCTGGGTAGATGAAGATAGGCCTACTAGAGATTAGGAGCAGAAAAGTGGAAGTCTGGCTGGAGGAACCCAGGTGGAGGCCTGGTGGGCTTCTCTGGAAGAAGGTCCAGGCCCACATGGATGGCAACGGGTTGCTCCAACATCAGGTGGGAAGTCACGGCCTTGAGGCCTTCAGAGCGGAGGTGGGTAGCAGCTGTAAGCCCATCTCAGAGCTGGAGGAGTCAGAGAAAGGAAGAGCTGACCCTCATTGTCTGAGTTTGCTGGGAAGCAGTTTTACCAGGAGCGAAACCTGTTCAAGATGCAATTGCCCTCCATCTGCAGGGGAAAGAGGCTTTTCTGGAGCAGTCTTTAAAGTCAGCAGGGAAGCAAATTAGAAGGGGGATCAGGTCCAGGGTTAGAAGAGAGTACATCCCTACATAGCCATTTGATACTATGTGTGTGGGGGGTGGGGGAGATAGAGCCCCAACAAAGTGGTGACTGTCTTTTTCCCATTGGCTGACTTCACAATCTTATTCGATTGGCTAGTCCTAAAGTAACTGGGGCACAAGAAATGGAGGAATGGAGAAACGGAGCTCAGGCCATCAAATTCCTGGAGTGCAACAGAAGGGCTTTGTGTAGACAAAGGTTTTACTAGGTGGTGAGGATTAAAAAATTTTGCATAAAAGTCTTTTGAGGTGGGGAAGGTAAAGTGATTTTGATTCCTTGCTCTAAACACAGGTTTTTATAGTGTTTGATTAGAAAAGGCTCAGACTTAATGGTTCATATGAACCTCTCCTCATTTTAAACATTCTTTTCTTCACACAGGGCTTCACTGCCACTTCACTATTCTGCCTCCCTGAAGGGGTAGCTCCTGGACCCATTTAGAAACTAAGTCTAAGATCAGAGCTCCCCAGACACTTTGGGCATCTTTGGCATCTGGCAAGCTGTAGAGGGCTACGAGGTCCTTGTGCTCACAGACAAGCACTAGGAAAACCAGGAGCATCAGCCATTTAGGCTGGTGTCTTCAAGGGAAGGGATGTCTACCCATTTCCCACTCAGGGAGCTGGGGGTGGATGTAGTTATGAGTGATCTGTGTTCTCTGTAGGGCCAGGCCTCACCCAGACCCCCAGACCATAATATTTACCCCGTGTTCATCATGACCCTCCCTCTCCAGAACTTTGTCTTAAACACTGTTTCTCAGTCAATAGAACCCATTGCTAGGAAAGACGATACATGTGTTTTATATCCTGGTGACCTCTCCACCGTCTGTATGACTGAGACCACACCACATCACAGGCCTTTAAGCTAAAAGTGGTCACATGAACTTCACAAAAGAGTTTCGACGTAGTCACCCCTTAAGCTTTTGTGCGCATGGCATTTCGGTAACTGTTACCGGGAAACTTTTCCCCCCCTCAAATTGTACTGTACTTAAATATGTCTGAAATAAACTGCCCGGGTCAGACTCTAGAAAAGTGAACCAGTACCAGCTCCCTTCCTTCTTGCCTCTTACAGATCATTACTCTGTTCGCCCTGGCCCCCACATAGCTGGAAATCTATTCTTTGGGTTCTACTTGGGATCTATGCTTTTCCAAAACTCAGTTCTGGACAGGTGAGAATTCACGTGAGCCTCCAACTTTAACCATTTTAACCAGGTTCTTTGATACCTGGCTAGCATTGGAGGCACGTGTCTGAAAAAAACTATTGAGTCCTAGCTGGGTACAGTGGCCCACATCTATAATCCCAGAGGCAGGCAGGTTACTGTGAGTTTGAGGCCAGTCTAGCCTACAAAGCAAGTCCAAGAGAGCCAAAGCTATCACATAGAAACAAAACAAAAGAACAAAAGAAACTATTAAGTCCTTTTTAGGAACCTGTAAGTAGGGCTGGAGAGATAGGTCAACAGTTAAGAGCACTGTCTGCTCTTCCAGGGGTCCTGAGTTTGATTCCCAGCAACCACATGGTGGCTCCCAACCATCTATACTGGGCTCTGATGCCCTCTTCTGGCATGCAGCTGTACATGCAGATAGAGCTTTCATATATGTAAAACAAACAAATACATCTTAAAAGAAACCAGTAAATAGATCATAAATCAATGTGTCAAAATTAAAACTAAATATAAACAAACACCTTGAAGACTGGAAATGGTGGCACACGCCTATAATCCCAGCACTCAGGAGGCAGAGGTAGACAAATCTGTGAATTCAAAGTCAGCCTGGACTATAGACTAAGTTCTAGGACAGCCAGGGCTACACAGACAAACCTCATCTCAACAAAACAAAACATCATTAAAGTTTCGAGTCATCTCCTCAGTATAATATAAAAGGGCTTACCCCTCAGGGCTTAGTGGCACCAAGAAGTTTATGGGTACTTATGCCACGTGGTTATATTAACTAAGATGGTGAAATGACATTCATTATTTTTATTTCATTAGGCAAGATGGGCCAAGTCCTGTGGTGTCCTAAATCCCAGCCAATCAGCTCAAAGTGTTTTGTCTAGCTACCTAGCTACAACACAATACACTTGGAACAAAATCGATTATGCTTAGCTAGTCAAAATGATGTAATGCTGCCCCTCCTCCCACCTCCTACACCTGGTTACCTGGTTACAGTTTTTGATATAAAAACAACCTGCCTTAGAAACAGACCAATGCATTGTTTAGCTCCCGGTTCCAGATTATGGCCCCGATTGGTCAGTTTCTGTTCAGCATTCAATAAACTTCCATCAGCCTGAGTCTGGTGTTCAAGTGGTCAATGTGTGGCTATTCCTGAACCCACAACATATCTTAACGGGGTCGTGATCTGAGGGGGAGGCAAGGTCCGTGGTTCCCTTCTGTTGATGAGCTCAGCTTCCTAGTACAGTGATCCCATCTTCCCTCAGGGAAGAAGTCTCTGTGGGACCTACACACCACAGGAAGTACATATGAACAGTTTCACCAATTTCTCTACACAAGACACCTTAGTTAGGTTAGTATTGATAGAGGAGATGGTACCTGTGGCCTAGGAACGTAGGTCCCAAACAGGCATAAGATGTTGCTGAAAGAAATTGACGAAGGACCCTGGCACGCAGTGGCACACACCTGTAATCCCAGCACTCAGGGAGGCAGAGGCAGGCAAATCTCTGTGAATCGGAGGCCAGTCTGGTCTACAAAGTGAGTCCAGGACAGCCAAGGATACACAGACTAACCCTGTCTCTAAACAACAATTTGATGAAGGAAGCAGAAGGAATGAAGAGCTGTGCCCAGGGCCCATAAATGGGGCTCAGGCCTCCGAACACATGAAATTAAGAAGACTGTGACTTGGTTCTATCCACTTTATCTCACTGGGGGCAGATGGGTCTGTGACTGTCTATGTGGGCTGGGATTTAAGACCTTTGGACACCAGCTTGTTAAAATAGTTAACACTAGTTGAAAGCCTTAGTGGCCTTGTGTGGCACTTTTACCTGGTTAGAAAATCATCGGCCAGATAGCATCATCTAAGTCAGCATGAGACTTAAGTGCTACCTTTGTCCCTTCCCCCAGGTAAGGTCCAAGGTCTCTCAGCTTATCTAAGGGAAGTGGGTGAAAGGGGAAAGAAAGGAGAATCCCATGCCCAGAGAGGGAGATGACAGAAAGTTAAACTTAGCCAGGCAGTGATGGCACACACCTTTAATCCCAGCGCTTGGGAGGCAGAGGCAGGTGCATTTCTGAGTTCAAGGCCAACCTGGTCTACAGAGGGAGTTCCAGGACAGCCGTGACTACACAGAGAAGCCCTCTTTAGAAAAAATAAATAAATAAATAAATAAATAAATAAATAAATAAATAAATAAATAAATAAAGTGTGGGAGCTTCTGGCCCAATAAGAGGAGTTGGTTCCCCCTTGTTGGGTGGAAGGGGTGGGAATGTTTTCTTTCTTTGATTTTTCTTTTTCCTTTTCTTTCCAGCTCTTTTTACATAGGTTATTTTCCCATCCTTGTTTATCTTGTTCTCAGCTCTCTTTTATGGAGGTTTCTTGCACTTATCAGGACATACCTCAACACCCCCAGCATGACTTGACAACCAAGGGAATACTTTGCTGTTCCCCACAGCATTTTTTGTTTTGTTTTGTTTTGTTTTGTTTTGTTTTGTTTTTCCGAGACAGGGTTTCTTTATGTAGCCTTGGTTTACCTAGACTTGCTTTATAGACCAGGCTGGCCTCAAACTCACAGCACTTAGGAGGCCTGCCTCTGCCTCTCAAGTGTTAGGAGTAAAGGCATGTCCCACTGTGCTGGGCTACAGCACATTTTTAAATGTCAACAAGACAGGTAACACAGCTGCTACAAAACAAAACAAAAAACACTAGATTTTAGAAAGGACTACATATTAAATCAGCTGATATACTCTAAGTATGTTGCTTTTTCTCTTATTTCAAAAGAAAGCAAAGGGCTGTAGATTCCCTCAAAGTTAATAAAAATTACATTTGACTAGGAAAGATCTCTTGAAAATCTTGGCTGAAGGCATGAAGAAAGAAACTGGTTTTAAAAAAAAAAGTGATGTACAGTTTGGTTATGCAGTCAAACAGACTTACAAAGTTTAATGCCTTTTACCTGCTCAAACTTAGAGCAGAGAATCATCACTATCTGACTTATACACATCTCACATCCCATATATATGTTAGTGCATCTAATGTTACCCTTAAAAGTTTGTTTGCTTTCAGAGCAAAAGGACTGAGGAGGCAGAGGAGGCACCACCACGAAACCAACAAGATCTTCTGGAAGGAAACCCATGACCTCATGGCTAAGTCAGGTGCCCTCCTGTTTTCTTATGGCTCTTTTCATAATTCTTCATTCTGAGCCTGACCTATAATGGACACAACAATGTCACAGGAACCCAGGACTGCCCACCTCAAGGATGCCGGATCTTCCTCTGCACCCCAATTCCATCTCCACTGTCCTCAGCCCTTTCCTCTGCTTTCCTCACCAGAGCACAGGTGACTGCCTCCAGCAGGCTTCCATAGATGGAGGTTGCAGACTTTGGGGGTGCCAAAATGAATCCACCAGTTATGGTGGCAATGTTTGCCCACCTTAAATCTAATGGTCAGCTTTCCGTCAGCCATCCTTGAGATGAACGACGGCGAACGGGAGTCATGGGCTCGCTCTACCCTAATGGCTGTGCAAATACATCATAGCTGACCAACAGGTCTTGTGCCAGCTTGTCCCCGCCTCCAAATAGGGCTAGTGGAACAAGACATACAAATGCTCAGACATCTCCAGGCATGCTGTGCTCCCAACAATACTATCCCATGGTACTCAAACCCTTTGGTAGCTTGGCTTCTTCTTCTTGGACCCGTACTGGCCATTGGAGCCCTACTCCTCCTGGCACCCTGACTCATGCAATTTCTAATCCAGCAGATAAGTAGCATTGCAAAAATCACTGCCAATTGGGTTCTAGTTCAATACCGGACCATTCCCAACATAGAGGCTGATGACTACAATGACACCTCTTCTTTATAAGACAAAAAGGGAGAGATGTGGAGCATGTGAACTGTGACACCAGGGGAACCAGCCGGAGTTAGAGTGAGGTCGAGATGTATCCAAACCATGAAAATTTCAATCTTGAGATGAGCAGGAGCAAAGATTGCTCCCTCCCCCTTCTGTGCCCGCATGCCCCAGCACTCTACTCGGTAGTCTTCTCACTCCCCAGGTAGTCCCATAGCCTGGACATGCCCAGCTAGAACCTGGAATTCCTTCTTCATGCAAATGAAGCATTCCAAGCACCTCTTCCTCAGCCAATGGTGTACACTCACCAAAATGCCCATCCACTTCCCCAGGGTTTATAGTTCTTATTTCCCCCAACAAAGAGGGCTGTATCACTGAAAGATGAATAGTCCTCCCAGCTCCACCCCTACACTTACTGCTGAAGCAGGATCCTGCTGACTCACCTGCCTGGCTAGGCTTCATTCCTTCCAGTGCAGCACCTGTACTATACGCACTGGTGTCTGGACGCTCTGAAGGGAAGAAAACCCCAGGACCCAGAATGACAGCTAGCCAGAAGCCAGAACTACAGAAGCCAAAGAGCAAGGTTGGTACATTTTGAGACTTTCCCTGAACTATGGACTTTGATGGATTAGAATTTTGTTTTTGTTTTGGCGGGAAGTGCTGGTTACGTGCTGAGTTTTATGGCCTGAATGGCACTTCCATCATGGAGTCAACTGTGCTAAGGTCTGGGGGCCTGTTATAAAAGAAGAGAGTATCCCCCAACTTTTTGGTCATCAGAGACTCTTCAGCCAGCACTGGGGTTTCTAAGAAGTCAGCCTGGCAGAGGATCAGAAAGAAAGAGTTCCAGAGAAATTAATCTCAAAATTTACCCAAGGTTAAGGTCAGTGGGTGACAGATTCATGGAGCACAATGAGAAGACAGTCCTTGTTCAAGGGGAAAATGAAGCAACAGGAGTTGGAGGGGAATCAGGTGAAAGGAGGACTGGACCACAGTTAGAGAGGCGGTGAAATGGAAGCTCACTGAGAAGGACTGAGTGACTTGAGACAGTACAGGCCTTTACTGGGGGAAAACACCTATAAGGAGGGATCGCTCTGTAATACTTAGAGCCCATATCCACTGTCTGCTTACAGCTGGTATAGTTACAGATGTTGTGGGTGTCCACCAGAGAAGACTGCTCAAACACGGGCTAAGGTGATAGAAAGTCTTATTACCTGGGGGTAACTGCACTGGGTGCTCGGGATCCCACTGCAGCATTAAGCCTTTTTCAGGGTGAACTGCTAAGCACAAAAACAAAACAAAACAAAACAAACAAACAAACAAAAAAAAAACATATTCTGGGTTGACATACTTCAGTTAGCAAGGACAGCCAGAAGCAGAAATACAGAAGCTAGAAAGCAAGGTTAGTACACTGTGAGACTTTCCTAGAATTGTGTGGACTTTGATGGATTAGGCCTTTGTTTTAGTTTTGGCAAGTGGTGTTGTCCACGTGCTGAGTTTTATAGCCTGAATGGCACTTCCGCCATGGAGTCAGTTGTGCTAAGGTCTGGGGGTCCTGTTACATTCTCTACTGGTCTAATTGAATGAGTCAAATCATAGACTCAACCTGTCTTAGTTCAAGATGTAGGGCCTCATTATTAATCCAAATGAAACGTGCCCATCCAGTGCCAGGGAACCAAGAAAACAGACTGTTATCAATTTTCCCCCAACCATGCCAAAATTTTCTCTAATTACTCCTGATCAATTAACATAGAGACAACAGGTTCCTTCCAAAGCCATACATAGTTTCCTTTATCTAAGTCTAAGCCTCTCCAACTTTGTAGGACCATTTTTGCAAGGAAAATTAAAACCGTTGTTTTAATTCAGAAACTGAAATTTTTAATAATTCTAGGTCCTCACCAACCTAGCTACTTAGTTTAGAAAACATCAGAAGTGGCAAATTTGATCAAGCCATTAGTATGTGCCCACCAAATAGGCTCAGGGGCTCCATAATATTGCGATTACCCATCTGAATTAACCTACAGGGCAGCACAGCAAGCATCAGAGTAAGAGGAAGTGCCTAGATCAAAGGTTTTGGACATAAGTCCAAACATTTTGTAAGTCATCTAAAATGTTAATTTGGGCTGTCCCAGTCACAGGGAGTTTGTCAGTCAACAGGCTGACAGGGCATGTTCCTAGCCCTATGGACGGTGTTTAAGTGTAATCAGCTATCCTGGCTGATCCCTGGCCGCGAATGGTTAGCTGTAACCCCAGGGTCCTTTCCTGTAGCAGAGTCAGATTCATTCCCCAGGTTTTCCCTCTTTCCCAACAGCCAGAATATTTTTTTAAGGATTTTTTTTTTTTTAATGAAGCCCTAGTTTCATAAGCCCAACTTTTGCAGTGAATACTCCCTTGTTTCTGGCAATTAGGGAGCCCAGCCAGAGGACGAAGGTAGAATTGCAGACTTTGTATTCCTATTAAAAGATAAGATAAACCCCCATATCTTTTCCTTCCTGTCTCTCTCTTTCTTTTTCAAGACAGGGTTTCTCTGTCCTGAAACTCACTCTGAGACCAGGCTGGCCTTGAACTCACAGAGATCTACCTGCCTCTGCCTCCTGAGTGCCGGGATTAAAGATGTGCGCCACCACCACCCAGCCGTGTATCTTTTCTTTCTTCAATACAACTAGACATTTAAAGTGGGCATCAGTGAGCAAAGGTCAAGGTGAATATGGGTTGCTGTTTTGTAGTCATAGCAGTTAATATCTTCCCTGTATCTGTCTTCCTCAGTTTCCAGGTCTAGGCCTGCAGCCCATAAGGGTTGGACCATGATCCTGTGTTCATACCAACCATAAGTATCAGAAGGAGGTAGAGGAGCAGGGAGTGAATGGGCCCAGGGCCCAATGAAGCCTTGATTTCAAAGGGTCCATAGCCCAGAGGCAGTCCATTTGGCAGCAACATCTGTGGCTTCTGCTTTCTTGACCTAGGTGTGTTGGATCCATGGTGTAAGTCGGCTACCTTAGATTATCACCTTGTAGGGTCCTATTTAGGTTAGTTTTAGCACCTCTTTGGCTATTTGCTTGACCCAGACAGTATCAGACCCTAGACTTGAACACGAAGAAACTGTGGTGAACTCAGAAGTCAGCTGATCTCTTAGTCCACTGGAATAGCCTGTATGGGGAACTGGAGGACCTATAGTGACTTGAGAAAAGAATGTTTAGAGAGTTTTGTCAAGTACTGGTGTCTGGGCCTGGCAAGCATTTGGGGAGGGTAACCACCCCCGTGTGGGGTGCAGAGGGCTGAAGCAAGGCAAAGGAAGGAGGTCTATTGTCCTTTGGTGGAACTCTGAGGTCTATATGCATCATAGAGTTTTTAATCTATGTCTAAAGCTTTAGCTATTAATTTAAAGCCAGGCCAATGTCAGACCCCATTGCTAGGGGGAGACCAAGTCAGGGAACCAGTTCTTGAAGGAGCTGATTTTCTTTCTTTTCTTTTCTTTTCTTTTCTTTTCTTTTCTTTTCTTTTCTTTTCTCTCTTTCTTTCTTTCTTTCTTTCTTTCTTTCTTTCTTTCTTTCTTTCTTTCTTTCTTGTTTTATTTTGTTTTGTTTTTCCAAGACAGGGTTTCTCTTGTAGCCTTGGTTGTCCTGGACTTAATTAATCTTACAGAGATCTACCTGCCTCTGTTTTTCAAGTGTTGGGATTTTAAAAAGGCATGCACCACCACACCTGGCTCAAGACATAATGTTTTAAATAATCTTTTTCCCAGTGATGAGAAGCCCTCTTTCTCTATAGATTGTACTGTGGACATGTCTGGTACTAAAGACATAACAACCAATAGTTGGTGTATATAGTAGTGGACTTTTCTTTTCCCCAACTGAGAGCCTGGGTCAGATCAATCAGTTCTGCTCTCTGGGCTGAGGTACCTGGCTTGAGCCCACATTTTTTTCAGCTAAAGTAACTATTGCAAGGGCTGAAGAGGTAGCTCAGAGGTTAAGAGCACTGGCTGTTCTTCCAAAGGTCTGAGTTCAATTCCCAGCAACCACATGGTGGCTCATAACCATCTGTAATGGGATTTGGTGCCCTCTTGTGGTGCGCAGGTGTACAGGTAGGCAGAACACTGTATACATTAAAAAAAAAAAAGCAACTACTGCAGCTTCCACACACCTGGTTTCATCTTTCATCACATGACAGTCATGGATGAGCACCTGTGCGTCATCATCAGGCAAAAGGGTAGCAGGACTGATGGCAGTGGGTTTCTCAAACTGGACTGAAGGGTGGGCCAGGAGTAGGGTCTGGTACTGGATCACACAGTCATTAGAGAGACAGTGTTCCAGTGTTCCTCAGAGGAGGGCCTCAACTGTGCCATGTGGTGCTGTGAGTATAAGGTCTTGCTCCAGAGTTAACTTGTTTGCTTTCTTTCATTAAACGAGCATTAGCTACCACAGCTCTTAGATAGATTGGGCCATCCTGTGGCTACAGGGTCCAGTCCTTTTGACAGGTATGTCACAGGGTGTTTCCATGACCCCAAAAGTTGGGTTAAAACCCCTTTTGTCTTTTGTTTAGTCTCAGTCCGGGTTAGGGGCTCAGTGCCCACCCACCTTGCTATTTCTACAACCTCTGGTTTCAGAGGCAGTACTGTCTGGTTGCATCTGTCTCTCACACCTTAAGCTCTCAACCCTATCTCTTAGTCTTTGGAGTTGGGAGGGCAGCAACCCTGCAGGTTCCTTTTGCCTCCTCTCAGCCAAGATACATAGCCGTAGATGTACAAACATGGACTCTCTTAGCTCACATTTTGTAGCCAAGATCTGCAACTCTAATAGCAGTCCCTCAGTGACCCTTTTATAATCTATTTTCAGGATGTCTGCATTCAGTGTCTTTAAATCCTGGTCCAGGTATGTTACCCACTCTAACCTCCCCTGGGTCTGTCTACATAAAAGCAAAGATGGGTCGACTCACCTCAGCCAATGGGAGACTGAAGAACATGTCTTTCAGGTCCAAGAAATGTGCCCCTGTTTCCCTGGAAGAATCAGGCTCATGAGAATCAGAGGTCCTGGGTTTCTTCACAGATAGGAGAGGTGTATACCAGGGTGACTGTGAGAGGACCAGGATGCCTGTCTCTTCAAGCCAGGCAATACAGACCGCACCTTCCCCTTTTGTTTCCAGAGTCATTGGGTATTGTTTAATCTGGACAGAGGTGGCTGAACTGGTTAGTTGAACAATTGTAGAGCTTGGTGTTGGGCCAGTTGTGGAGGGTTGGTTTCTCCTGACACAGGGTGAGACAGCCTTTTGCTGGGTGTCTGTAAGTCTAACTGCATCTCATCATTAGAGAATGTGACAGTGGCTATCAGTTTATGCAAAAGGTCTCCCTCCAATCGGTTCTCTTCTGTTAAACACCCTTTAAATTGCCACCGGAACCTGGGACCTACTTACAGCCTTAAGATTTTTTACTTTTATAACTTTTTGCTAATATCTGGGGCTGACTGGGTGACAAAGAAATTATTTTTAGCAGCTGTGTTTATCTCTTCAAAAAGGATCAAGTGAGAGCTGTTTAAAGTCCTCAGTGTTGGACAGAAGGGG